AGCAATGCTTACAATGTCAACGATCAAAAGTGCACAGGCACGTAGCCACCCCCCTTGGCACTTTCGCTACGCCTGTTGTTCGCTTCGATCACGTTCACTTAGACATTGTAGGACCACTGCCACCATCGCATGGGTATGATCACATACTCACGTGCATCGACCGCTTCACCAGATGGCCCGAAGCTATACCCATCACGTCTATCACGGCGGAGACAGTTGCTCACCGCTTCGTAGAACGATGGATAGCTCTATACGGTTGTCCCTCGACTGACCGAGGACAACAATTTGAGTTCGCACTATTCTCCTCACTTACTCGGCTGCTTGGTACGGAACGCATACGCACTACCGCCTACCATCCAGCTTCAAATGGTTTAGTTGAAAGGTTTCACCGTCAACTTAAAAGTGCTCTTCGAGCACACAAAAACGACGACTGGTACGAAACCTTACCGCTTGTTCTTTTAGGTATCAGAACGAGCTTGAAGGCAGATATCCAATGTTCCGCCGGTGAAGTAGTATACGGCACGACATTGCGTCTGCCCGGATAATTCTTCACACCACGAAGCAGACATGATTTCGCTAAATCAGACTACGTCCAACGACTGTCTGCATTTATGCGAATGCTGTCTCCGGTGTCAACTCGATTAGAACATCGACAGGTCGCTCTCCCTCGAGAGTTATCTACCTGTTCACATGTTTTCATACGAGTAGATTCGGTACGCAAACCTTTGCAACAACCGTACGAAGGCCCTTTTCGCGTGATCGCTCGTCACGAAAGGACCTTCAAGGTTGATCGACACGGCCGCGTCGAGATCGTCAGTATTGATCATCTCAAACCAGCACACGTCGATGACAGTGCCCTATCTGATAACCTGAGATTCAATGCTAGACCTATCAAACCTACTAGCGGGATCCTCAAACCATCTTCAGGTCCCACGCTAGATACACCTGAGACCTCATTCTCACGTCCCAGTCAACAGCACGCGTCATCTGCACCGTCTACGGACGAGACAACAGTCTCATGTCCAGATCAGCAGAACACGCCGCCCTTGACTTCGGATGTGATTGCAGGCTCACGCGACGCGAACGAGACTACCGTCTCACGTTCCGGTCGCCGAGTACGGTTACCCGTACGCTTTCGTAACTAGTCGCACAGTGAACAACCGATACGGTGTACGATTATTCCTATACTACACGCATGCTACACTCTTCTCTTTTTTGATTTTCTTTTTGTTTCCTGAGCCCACGCCTTCGACCATCTCCGTTTGGTTCCGTCGACTTCAGTCAACTTTGGCGAAAGCTGGACTGGCCACCCACGCTCTTTTCATCACGAATTGATATATCAGCTATAATGTCAAAACTTTATTTAACCAAATGTATGAATGAATTTCGAACCAAAAATACATGACTCGTTATTTTATATCTAATTGGTTCGTCCATAAATTATAGTCTTACCAAATTGATTAAAATTGAAAATGTAAACAATTAAACACTAACTTAATAATCAACGCCAACTTTGAAACTGGAGAAATGATACCCCTGATGTAGTATGTTATATAGCTGTGTATTATTAAGGAAAACTCACTGATTATCACCGGGGGTTATTTTTGTAAGGATATAGTTACTGTATGATTATTATTATTATTATTATTCCCATTTATTTTTATTCTGTTTTATTGATTTGCTTTTATGATATTGATATAAAATACACTAAATTTTGTACCCGAATAATTCTACCTTCTTTGTTTTTCATTTCAATCAGTAAACATAATAGGGATGGATACATAATCAATAGCAGATGGTTAATATCTTATGTTGATAATTATCAATGTGTGAATTCCATTACAATATTCATATGCCATTAAAAATCTGGACGTATCCGTATACAAAAAAAGCACACACACACATAAATACAAGTACAAATGAATAAACGTCATGATTGCTTAGTCTAGTTACCATGATGCGTAGTGATGATTAGTGCATTTCGAACATTTAATTTATTGATTTTAACCTTGATAATGTAATTTACTGTATAAAAAAATATACAAATTTCACTGTCAGAATGGGTTTTGTGGAGATTTTAGAAATCTCACTGGTTGAAATCATGAGTCAGTTGAAGCTAGACTACCATGGAAAACCTGGAAGTACTGGACGGCTGCTTCGTCCTAGTATGTGACTCCTAGGAGATACTCCTGGAGTTCTAGTGAGAATTCGTTACCAGTGGAGTTCAACCAGGTCTGTTGTGAAATAGGAACTCACTGAAGACAACGGTGTACGGTGGAGCAACTTCGCGGATTAGTTGAAAATAAACATTAACACCGTTAAATGTCGACCAGTTCAGTTGTTTAGTGGTTAAGCGCTCGCGTGCGAGACTGATAGGCACTGGGTTCGAATCTCGCAGGGGGCGGGATCATGGATGCGCGATGGTTTTCCATGGTGGCCTAACTTTAATTGACTCATGATTTCAACCAGTGAAATTTCAATGTGTTGAAGATGTAGTCTGTATTTTATAATTATGTATATATTCCCTGAATAGATTGATATTAGATGAATTTTGTTTTTCAACCTGACCCAATATCTAGTACTTTACATCTCTAACCTTAGCGTTACTAACTAAATGGTTACAGAATACACGAAAAAATGATTCAAAAACATTTATAAACAAACACTAGTAACCTACGAATATCCTCTATTCTTAATGATCACATTTTTCATTCATAAAGTAGAACAGAGTGTTTTCAGATGGACATCTCCATTACGCTAAGAAATGACGCATGATACTCAACCTGTATTGAACGTTCGTCAGACACTAGCTCACTAGGGTTGATAAGCCTTAAAAGATAAGTAAAATGACTGATATACTCCACCACTTCACTCCGCATCATTAGTTCAGGCGTTGACGCAGACCAGTCCTTGGAGAGAGAAAAATGCATCCTAAACATACTTGTCTTATTGTTTAAGGTAGTCAGAAGACTGGACTTTTTTGGAGTCTTCAACAAACACTACTGAGCCAATTGTATATTTTGAGTCATGTGAGTCTCCTGGTAGAGGATCGATTAGTAAAAAGTCAGACGATGAAAGCGTATATGACAAAATTAAGTAAATATGGGGAAAGAAGACAACCAAAACGAACATCACGTGAAGTTATCAATTTTGATGACAGTTAGCCATAAGCCCTAACTCGACCAGTAGTGTTTTACTAAAAGCCAATGCAAGATTTGTATGCTTCTTCAGTGCCAGACATCGCTACAGAACCTCTTAATCAACAAAGTCGAAAGTTCCTTAAGGGTCAAGGAAAACCACTATAGTCAGTTGTCAGAAAGTATTTCTATGTTCCAGAACCTGACAAAGAGAGAATACTAGACCAAAAACATATAATGGTTCCATCTTTTTATGAAAGAGTCTTACAGACAGACAGATTTGCAGTGCATTTTTCTTTGATGAGTCAAAATAGTTGTCTACTGTTACCTATCCCCGATGGTTCCTTTATGTCTTTTGCTATCATTGTTCACCACTGCTCATGAACATTAAGTAGGAGTTATATCACTCTACTTTTAAACTATCTTTGCTTCTCACAATGATTGGAGCTTGAGAGAATTAGTTTCCGAGCACCGATAATTTCAATAGACATTGCAGAAATCTACTGAATTCGCTTAACCCTTCGCTCTAAATTTAGGGATAGATATTGTTACCATTTTTACAACTGTTTAAATATTGTCCCAAGCTACCTCGTAGTGAACATCACTTTCAAAACTGACTAACTGCTTCTTAATTTGTTCCTAAAATATAATCTTTATTTATTGTTAAACTGAACACTAAGTGGTTGATTAGATTCAAGGTGAACAGCTTCGATTTCAAGCGAGTTGTGAAAACTCGTATTGCGTGAGGTGTGGACGGAAACTTGGACACTGGCTTTGTGTTGCTTACGATGTCATAACACTTAGCTTGTTTCGTTGACGGTGAAAGCAGATTCATTTTTTTCATCAACTGTATTTGTACAACAACAGTTAGAACATGGATCCGAAAAATATTGTAAGTATTCCTGATATATGGCGGAACAACCACGTAAATAGGGCTGAATAGTATGCTACTACGTAAATGCTACAATTCTGATTATGGGCTGTATACCAGTAGTGTTTGAAGTGGATGAGAAAAGCAGTATGTAAAGCCAATCAGCCCTAAATCCCGATATGTCATCTTGGATGGAGTAGGACAAGGTTGAAAGAAAAACAGGGATAGCTAACCCATTGATTGTTGAACTGAACCGTGTTGGTAAATTTAAACTACCTGATTTGCGTCTTCACCAAAATCATAACGAAGACCAGTGATGCGGTTCAAAATCGTTCATAGTAAGGATACCTTTATCTTTCAGTAAATTAGTTAGCGGGATATAAATTGGATTAAAGCATGTTCCGTACAAGGTTATGTAAGGGCGCGCTGATTGGTTATTTATTATCTAGTCAGCGCAAGTGGACACTTGGAGAAGACTAGAATATTCTCATGTAAAAACTATGAATATACTAACGTTTTTCTTATTGTGATTACTACTTCGATCCAACCATTTTATTAGGAATATAATTACGATCCTGATCAACCGTGTCCTGATTTGCGGACTTGTCAAGTAAAGTAGTGTCTAAGACTACTAAGCAATAAAAGTATCTGGACCGTAATAAGAGAAATTAAAATATACTTTCATTCCACGAACTCTTCCCTTCTCTTCGAATCATATTCCGTATGTTTACCCTTTCCTAGTACCACTGATATTACCTAATTTTGATTCTTTTGCTATTCACCTTACCGATTTTATCTCAATGTGACAAATTTAAGATGTAACGACTTGAATAGATTCATACATTGATTACGAAAGAATGACTGATTGAATACAACCTCTTAACTCATTGTTATTTTACATTATACACCTTTGAAAATATTGTGCTAAATTACTACTCACCAATTATTGAACAGTAATATGTAACTATGTAATATCAAACAATAAAACTTACAATCATAGTACGCCTAGCTTCTTCAACATTTGTAATTATAGTTGCATAAACTGATAAGGCATTTTTAATTATAATATCATCATCGGTTTCACAAACTTCTGTTTCAGTTAAATTAAAAATAATTAAAATGAACACCATACCGTTTTCTGTTTGGGATAAACAAGTTGACTGATGAGCATACTCTGAAAAATCATTCAATGATTCAGCATAATCAATAAGCGCTTGATTTAATGCTAAAATTAACGTAGTAATAAAATAAAATTTACGCTGATAGTGAACGTAATAATACAATAAATAGATTAAGAAGTATTTTACATCAGTACACAATCTTCTGTTTAACGGTTACAAACATAAATCAAAGATCAGTTGATTGTAGATAAACATGAAGTTCACTGTAGACCCGTCGCCAATTGTTACAACTTTTGGTTTTGTGCCCTTATTAACGTATAACGTAATGATACCGCCAATTAGAGGACAGTGATTTGTTGCCCGATCCAATGACGCATAAAAGACGTACGAGCAATCTAGAGTCCTTATCGGACCCGCTTCCTGCCTAGCCCTACCTGTTAAGTCCAGAACACCGATCTCATCCTCTCCTCATGTATTTCAAGCATACTGCATTTATATAGAAACCAACCAGATCGCATCATACCACAAAATAGAAAATACACATTTGTACAAGATTTAGCCAAAAGTAGCTGTGAATGTGGGAGATAGTCGTTGATAGAGTGGGCATAACTCGAGAATGGTAAATCGAGTTCATATATAATCTATCTCTTGATATGTGATGTTAGAACTAATAATAACAAGGTGTTAACAATTAGGAATTTTAATCAACAGAAACATATTTGCATCTTGTTACCTACTACTAGTCACATTGCCCCCAAATGCCCTGGTACGGCCGAGAGTGAGGAGAGTCCGCTCTCCCTCTCGAAATACTCTCACACGGCCACGCGTATATAGCCTCTGCCAGGGAAGTCCTACTCACTGCCTTCTCGTGGCGAGGGTGTTGTTTACGAAAATGAGAGGACGAAAAGCGAATGTCCGGCGCTTTAACCGGATTCCAAACCAATGGTGCACATGGGCTCCAGTATCCTGAAGGAACAAATGGCGTATGAACCAATTGTTGGTCACCGGCTTCCATGGGACTGCATCTCCTTACGATGCTCCACTGCCTTGTGGATCAGACCCTCAGGTCGAAGGCTCCGGGTGTGGCCCCCTAAGAAAACCACCTGTTTCGGTTTGGGCACCCGGGCAGTATCAAAGCCCTCACACATATCGAATGAGATTTGTGTGGCGCATATGTATTTGGTGCCTCTTTGTACAAATATCTATGTGTTGAAATAAATAAATAAATAAATAAATAAACTAGTCACATTATTTGCATAACCTTTTAAGGATAAAACTCAACTCTTTTTTTTTAATTCAAAACTGAAAAATAGCTATTATTTATTTCAATATCATGTTTTGACCTTATGAGAAAAATAATGAGCTTATACAAAAGAGAGAAAACCTATAATCACAATTGATTGATCTCTGGGTGGTGATCAATGTCATGTTTGTCAAGTCCCTATTTAGTGCAGATTGAATGCTATCGATCATGTTGCAATGTGGCCACCAGTCAAGGTGACTCTACACTGTATGCACTATATATTGAGATTAGATGGCGGTTGGAGGTAGTCGACAGGAAACCCGGAACCCGGGTTACGTGCTACTTGGCACTCGTTAGCAAGGTGCACCTGTAATCGGTCGGTCGCGGCCCGGATAACTCAGTGGTGACGTCTCTGACTGTGAAGCTGGGTGACATGAGATAGAATCCACCAGGGAGCACCAGTTCCCTATAAATTACAGATACACCTTGCTGACGAGTGCCAAGTAGCACGAAACTCGGGTTCAGGGTTTCCTGTTGACTATCACCAACCACCATCTAATCTCAGAGAAAACCTATATTCTAACCATGAATATGATATAAAACTCAATAATCAGAAAGAGGTTTTTGTAAAGATTGTAGTAAGTTTAATCATTGAAGCGTTCGTACGCAAGAATGATAAGTCATGGGTTCGAATCTCGTAGGGTAGGATCGTGGATGTACACTGCTAAGGAATTCAAATACTAGGATAAAAACGATCATTCAAGGTTTCCAGATTTTCTATGGTAGTCTAACTTTAATTAACTCATGAATTCATTAACTTATTCATTTACATTAACTTAACTAAACACACAAAACTTAAAGACCAGATAGATATCTTAAAAAAATTTTCTCGAAAAACTTCAGAAAAACAAACACATACATGATTAGATATGTAGGACTTTAAAACCATGGTGTTCGTTTTTGGTTCTATTATTAAAATTATTTGTTGAGATTGTTGTACTAAACGAACTATAGACTATTTATCACAGCTGATCCTTACCTTATGATATATTCAATAGCATTTATTGATCAGAATGTGTTCATTAAACCAAACTGTCATAATTTACGACCGTTGTTGCTACCATGACGTGGTGGTCAGGTTTGCCTATCGTGATGAAGCAACCGAGCTATACTGGATGGAATAACCGTTCCTCAAGGTCCTACCATGTCAGACAGGTCGGTTGAAGAGCGGTAAGACTAAAAGCAACAAACCCAAGGTCCGAAGGCGAAGTCGTACTGCTGACTGTACAAAGGTGTGAGGGCAGTAAGGTGTTTCCTTCAGACAACCAGCATGACAGCGATGCTGCCTTCCCACAAGGAGGGGTGGGGTTAGAAAAGATCGACCCTGAAAATGCACACCTCGCCTTATCTCACGGATATTCGTCTCCGGCGATGAGATATCAACAAGTACGGAGCTAACACAAAAATTACTCATAAAAAGGTCGTGTGTGACCGACATCAAGCAGTTGTCCCTTGGGCAATGCAGTCAAGCTCTCAGGTCAGTAAGACCACCACTAATCCAATTTCGTTTTCAGGTACCTCCAGAAGAGAAGACGTTATTACATGTACAACTTTAACAATTACAAGTTCATGTACTCACCAGACAAGTGTTTCTTTTTAATATGAGCGCAAAATATTCTGAGTCAGTTGGAGAGATAGTTCACAAAAATTTAGCGATAAACTATGACCAGTAAAATTGAACCATATCGAATGTAAGAAGCAGTTACTCACTACTTTCCGAATTGATTGAAATTAAACATGTATATTATTAAATGCCGACTCAATAGTTTAAACAGGTCTAAAGGTGTTGGGTTCGACACCTGATAGTGTTGTGAATGGCCATTGCTGGGAAGTTTCATATCCTGGCAAAACAGTGATTTGATGCTTCCTGTAATAACCTGATGAGGATAATGAATGGGAACTGTGAGAATCTATTTCTAGAGTAATGCCATATGTATATTTTTATCGTGTAACTGTTAAGTTACTAAACTATTCATATTTATGTTCCACTTATCATAAGCTTTATTTTCACCTATGGACTATTATTATACGATTTACCATTCTCGAGTTATGCTCACTCTATCAACGACTATCTCCCACATTCACAGCTACTTTGGGCTAAATCTTGTACAAATGTGTATTTTCTATTTTGTGGTACGATGTGATCTGGTCGGTTTCTATATAAATCCAGTATGCTTGAAATACATGAGGAGAGGATGAGATCGGTGTTCTGAACTTAACAGGTAGGGCTAGGCAGGTAGCGGGTCCGATAAGGACTCTAGATTGCTCGTACGTGTTTTATGATTCATTGGTTCAGTCGATAGCTTACTGTTCTCTAATTGGCGGTATCATCACATTATACAATAATAGCACACAGGGCACAAGTTATAACAATCGGCGACGGGGATGGAAAAAGTTCTGAACCCTCAATCTTCAAGATAAAGAATCAAGGTCAGTCTGTAATTGGACAATGTCAATGTTTGACTAAGGTAATTTCAAGATGTAAATCATAAAACTCGACGATCTGCATTAATCCGTTTGCTCTTAACTGATGAGTGCTAACTAATAGAAAACCTAGGTTTCAGGTTTTCTATCAAGTACTTATAATTAACATATGTCAAAATAGGACACATAATATCGATTCACTTAAACTAGTGATCAATTAGTAACATAATCAATAAAACTCGATGAACACTAAGGACCAAATAAACATATTGGTTATTACAGTGATCAATCAGTGTAGACTATACCTCATTATGTAACAAATGATGGGAAGTGAATCATTACACTGAAACCTCACCTTATTGATCGTTCTCTGATAAAATTATTAAGATCTGATCCTATGAGTTTTATTTGTTCATTTAAACACATCAACATTGGTACAAAGGGATACTGAAATACATATGCGCCACATAAATCATTCGATTTGTGTAAAGGCTGGGATACTGTTCGGGTGCCCAAACTGAAGCAGGTCGTCTTCTTAGGGGGCCACACCTGTAGCCTTCGACCTAAAGGTCTGATCCACAAGGCAGTGGAGCAACACCGAGAGATGCAGTCTCATAGTAGCTGGTGAACAACAATGGGTTCATACACCATTTGTTCCTTCAGGATACTGAAGCCCATGTGCACCAGTGGTTTGGAATCAGGGCTTTCCAACTCCCCTAAGTGAACTCCCTGTATCCACCAACCCGGTTAAAGCGCTGAACATTCGCTTTTCGTTCTCTCAATTTTGTAGACAGCAGCCCCGTAGCGAGAAGGCAATGAGTAGGTCTTTCCCGGTGGTGGCTATATACGCATACCTTGTACAAAATGTGTACTTATTAGTCACATTTCTAACCATTATTCTGCAAGATTATCTAAGGAGGGCTAGAAGTCAATCAACTGTTCAATCCTTGAATATGAGGTCAAATCTGGTTACGATCCTCGACAGAAATTATCGTTCACGATTTCTAACAAAGTTAAAATAACTAGCTACTTCAAAGGTTTGGATCAGATATTTGTGAACAGCTCAATCAATACAAGCTACATGAAGTCGGTTATCTTAATGCTTAGACTTGTCGTTTCAAAGAACGAGTACATTGTGTGTGGAGATAACGAGTATTAACGTATACAGTAATTGCATTAGTGAAATCAGTGTCATTGAGTGTAGGGAAAATCACAATAATATCTATTTTGTGAGGATGTTAAATATAGCAACTTAGCCTGACATATGTTTGTACAGTGTTATTGCGATTTACTAATCAACTACACATTAGTTAACGCGGCTTCAAATTACATCTTCAAATGTACAGGGCATTGATACCCCCGAGGTCTCTAAGATTG